ACAGTGGCACTTGAGAGCAGGAACGTTTTGCATAACAACTTAGCTCAACCTTACAAATAGCCTCTTAAAGGAATGAGGATCAATTTATTGTGCTGGCATGACAGGAAAGAATGCTGTGTGTTGGTGTTAATATCTGCATATAGTTTGCGTAACTGAAATCCACAATAATATCTTTTGTTTTCCAGCTTTGTTGAGATATAATTGACATATAATGCACAATAATGTCTTAATCTTAGTTTTGCTCCAAAATTACCTTTCCACCATCACTATCCCTTATAAGTAATTTGTAGCAATATTGATTTGATTTTAACTTTTTTTTTTTTTTTAGTTTTTTTCTATAAACATGCAATGAGCCCCCATTCTGTGTCAGAAAATATGCAAGTGCTGCATATCTAGAGCTCCACAGGACAAAAAATTAATGGCTGAAGATTTTTCAGAGTTCTCGAAAGACATGAGACCGCAGATTGAAAAAGCCCAGCAAATCTCAAGGAGGGTAAATAAAACAAATCTACAACTGGAATGTGTGGTATAATGACAGTATATCCAAAATAAAGAGAAAATCTTAAAAGCTGAGAGAAAAGACAGATTACCTACAGAGGAATGACTGTCCCATTGACAGCACATTTCTTAGCAGCAGCAGTAGATCCTACACCTATCGTCAAAATAGGATGCTGAAATAAAGACCTTTTTGGACATACAAAGACTAGCAGAATTTTTTACCTTCAGACTTTAACTGAAAGAATTACTAAAAGTTGGATTTTAGCAAGAAGGAAATTGAACCCAGAAGTAGGTTACACCTTTACGGAGCAATGGCACAACACGGAAATTGGACATGTTAGTTAACTTCATAATGGAAATAAATGGCTGCCTCTGTGTTAGGATTTGAGTACAAACGAAATGTTTTTCCAATTGACTGTTTAACTGCTTAGACTTGGTATTGATGTCTGAAATTCTTTGGTTTGTGATGAATTATTTTCACTTCAGGCAAAGGTTTTTCAGGAGAGGTCCATGGCTGGAATTCAAGCTAACCATGAATTTCTTAAAATTATAGGTGACGTATTTTGTGTATATGTAGTTTTTTCTGTAGACACGATTCATGGCTTTCATCAGACATTTAAATGGATTTAGAACCTGAACAAGTTTAAGAACTACTGGATTAGGGTATTGTCCCCTATTAAAATGAAGTTACATCGATACTTAACTTGCTCTGAAGTTGAGATACAATGACCTGAATTTGAATATTAGATCTGTTGGTTACTTTGGGGAACTATTGAGACTCGGACAAATTATTTTTCTTCTCATTACTTTGTGCAGTGCACAAGCTGTGTGGCTCTGCAGAGCAGTGATCTATCTGGACCCTGTGACTATATCTCACCATCACAGTCAGTGTTTGATTATAGCTATTAGGATTTTCTAAAAAGAGTCACTATTGAGCTATCAGAAGAAATAAAGCTTCTAAGTGACCAATTTTAGGGTATAATAGTAGGTTTAGGGCTGCTGTTTTGTTAATTGAGCACGTTTTGCATAATACATTGTCCACGTGTGTATGTTTGGTGGGGGGCTGTGTTCAATCATTATCTCCCCCAGTGAAATTTGGTACTAAAACAACTATTAACTGGTGACCCTGTGTAACTTGTGTTTTTATAATACAATTGTAATGTATGTTAGATATGTGCATTTTATATGTACTTTTAATTCCATTCCTCCACTCATTCAGTAGTTTATTGAGTGCTAGTATCAGGTCATTTACAGCACTAGATGTGGTCGTGGATATAGAGTTCATTACGGTGGTCCTGTGTCTGAGGAATTACTTTGAATTAGGATACAGGGTGGTGGGTCGTAACCAAATCCTCAGTCCTGGCCTATGACCTAGTCAGGTCAAGAGGAAGCTGTTCCTAAGAGCGGGGTTTTCCCAACCTGCCGCTTGGGGTGTCAGCCTCCAGGCGTAACTAAGAACAGAGTAGCGCGCACACCTTTGAGGAGGGCTGCTGTGAAGCCACGGGCTTCCTCCGATGCCACAAAGGTCAAAACGTCTGTTTAGCGTGTATAATTATGATCATAATCACACAATCTGTTTCTAAAGCTGTTACATTTGAAGATAGATCCCAGCCACTGATTAGAGCACTCAGATGTGTTTTCTTCTCCCAAAATCCAGGGCCTCCTTGTGGCTCTGCCCCGCCCAGGGATTAAGAATCCCTAATCCCAGTCCTGCTAGGGAGAAGACAGCCCCCAGCTGCATTTCCGTTTCCTCTCTGCAGGTCCATTTCCTCTCTAAGGACAAAGGTGTCTCTTAGGGGCAAAGGGAGGTGGTTTTCCACATGGTTACGAACAGCACAGAGACAGTTAATTTACCTCTCAAAATGAGCTTATATTTCCTTATTCATTGGTAGAATCCTCCCCATTCTTGTGTAATGTTGAGAGAGTCTCAGTTTTGATTGAATAAGATCATAATCTCTTCTTATTTTTATTTAAAAAAAGGAACACCTTTATAGAGCTTAAATGAGATGAGGACAGCTAGAGTTTTGAGATGGGGCTTTTGTGGAAAATGCTGAATGTTGGAGGGTAATGCAGTACAGTCTCTGTTCTGCCACCCTCCCTTCCCTAGTTATTTGTAGTTACATTAGGACAATTAGATTATAACTCACACTTCTGCAAACCCATTTAGAGAGATAAGGTATTCATTTAACTGTATTGTACTCTAAATTGTAAGTGAGATTCAAGATTGATTAAAATGTTTGGGTTTTAAGTTGAAATTTTCTCCCATGTTATTTTATATGTATATGAGTCACCATAGAGATTGGTTTTAAAAGTTTCAAAACGATTGAGGTTATTTTATTCCTTTCAGTTAAATTGAGGTTACTATTTTTAAAAAATTGATTCTGGCCTCTTTTTGTATCCCTCAAACTACCACTTTCTTTGCCATTCCTAGAACTAGTTGGAGAGTTTTCCTTAGCCTAAAAATAGAATGAAATAAGTGCGATTTAATTTTTTTTTTTTTTTTGAAAAGCTAAAGAAAAGTGCACTTCATGCTGTTCTTCCCTGTAAATGGGAAACCAAGTGTCTGATCCCATATTTTTATTATCAGGTTACACATACTGTGAGATGGATATATTTGATGAAAATAATAGCTCTCCTGAAGGAATGATTGTGTGTGTGTGTGTGTGTGTGTGTATGGGGTGTATGTGTATGTGAGAGACTTTCAGTGTGTGTGGACTTGTTTCGGCAGTAGTGTGATTGACTTGGCTAATGGGAACAAGCAGCAATGCCATCCTGTCTACAGAAGGCTTCCTTTCGTCTTTTTCTCTGGAGTGTTCCATCGCCTGTTCTTTTCCTGGGAGCCAGCAAGTCTTTCACCAGCTCTGAGACAATGAAGATTACTGGTAGCTGTCTTGCCTGCGGTGTTCCAGGCCTTTCCCCTGTCGGTGGCTGCTGTGGGAGGTGAGGTGTGTTGGTTTTGACTCTGGGTCTCGTATGGGTGACGAACGTCAGCTTCTCAGCCTCCTCCCTGCCGTGGCTCAGCGCACGCTAAGTTGAACGCGTAGCGGTTTTAACTTGCCTCCTGGTGTTCTCGATGAAACCATCCTGGGCCACTCGAATCATTCATTCAGCACATATTTGAGTGTCTGTCCTGTGCCAGGCACAGCCCTAGGTGTGTGTAATATAAATGTGAAAACCACAAAAATCACTGTGCTCCTGGAGTTTACATCTGGCTCCTGGATAACTTTCAGTTGCCTTCCTTCTGGAGTAAGGAGTCACTTCCCAAGCTATGAAATGTATTCATATACTTGACCTTTTTTGGGTTTTTTTTAGCCTTCTAGTTGAGCGTAACAGATGAATAAGACACCGTGGCTGCCCTCAGGGAATTTGTAAGAGAGACAGACCGACAGGCAAACATGTAGACCCTTGCTACCCAGCAGGCTGGATACGTGTTGTAATAAAGGCACAAACAACAGCCTTGAGGGAAGGCAGTGGAAGTAAAGAGACTCTTCAGCTGGGGCATGGTTTTTATGACAGAGCTGCTGTTCGGCTTGGCCTTGTGGTCACCTGTGAGTCGTGAGGGGTCTGGCAGTGGGGTGTGGGGATGGATTTAACAGGCGATGAGGGAGGAGGGAAGAGATGGGCAAGGCCAAGTGTGGAGGGCTTTGACTGTGTGCCAGAGTGTTCTGTAAGCAGAGGAGTCAGTGAGTTTCACAGGATGGCAGTGACATGATGTACCCTGTTTCAGGAGCATAACTGGTGGCAGTGTGGGATCCATTGAGAGCAAGAGCTGGGGGCAGGGAGACCCGCTGAGTGATTATCTTTCATTTCTTCTTTTACTCATTCAACATATACTTCGCTGGGCTTGGCTTGTATTTATATTTATAAATGATTGCCAATCTTAGATGCTATTTTAAGAAGAGTGGAATCAATTTAATGCCCTAATTCATCTTTCAAGCTTGAGGTTTACCTTTTTGTTTCCTTTTTGCTTAGTGACAGAAAGATACATATGAAGAGGACTTTAGGGGGACATCTCAGTCTCTTCTGAGTTTCTGCTGCTCTCTGCTTCACTCGTCAGTGGTGTATAAAAATGCAGCAGTCTGCTCCACTGTGAACCCAGATAGATACTGTCCCTCGCAATGGCTGGATAACCCAAGATTTAAGTCAGAGAAAACTGATTTCATTTATGTTTTATGATAAGAGGTACAGACAAAAACTGGAAGAAATATAATAGGCTGTCTTCACAAAATGCTTCTTCTGCTCTGAAGGAGCCAGCCCCTTCTCTTGGTCCAGGAGGAATATTGCATTTTAAACATGTGGTGGTGGTTATCCATTGTACTTTTTTTTTTTTTAAGGTAGGAAGTGTTCTTTGGACTGAGTTAAATGCTGCTCAGCATAAAAGACGTGATGTGGAACAAAGCTGCAGACTGTGACTAATTGACGTGCACTGGGCTCATGAGAAGACAGAATGTATCTAATCGGCAGCAGAACAAACACTCACAAAGGGTCTCCTTCTCTCCTAGGGCTTCCTTCGCCGGGCATCTGGCTGGGATTCTTGTTGGACTAATGTATACTCACGGGCCTCTGAAGAAAATCATGGAAACATGTGCAGGTACAGAACAAAACGCCTTTGGCATGACAACAAGTTGGAAGTTCATCTTAATTTTAGTGGGAACAGAAGCAACCCCAGTTTCCCTGTGGTTCAGCTTAGGAATTCCCTAACAGGCTCTTTTTAAACCAAGAGGTAAAACAGCTGGGTGCAGTTCTTCACGCTGCTCCAAAGAGGCTGTAAACCCAAATTTTAAACCTGAGGCTTTCTTAGGGGGCAAATAGCGGTATATATTTGTACCCTCAGCATTAATGCTACTCACAGAAAACCACGATTTCCTTAAAAATGAAGAGAACTGAAGTGGGTCTAAAATAATGCATTCTTCTATAATATTCCTTGAATTAATATATATGCAAGGCAGAGTTAAAAAAGAAAAACAAATCTGTACTGAAGTGCAAGGCCAGTATTTTAAAGAATTTAGAATGACCACTAGGTCCTTGGTGGGCGAGGCGTATATTCATGCATGGCCAAACCAAGTCTGTTATTGCGTGAAGCTCGGCTCCTGCTTTAAACTTTTTTTTTTCTTTTTTTTGCTTTTTTCCCCTTCAAATTGATGCTCAATGAAAATACTTTATTTTATTTAGTAATATGTGAATTTTTTAGACCTCTTAATTTAAAATGCTATACTGGTTTTGACTTATAAGGAAACTATGTTGCAAACACTTGTTTTATAGACCTTATGCGTTCCCATATTTCATCTTTTATTCATGGAAAATCTTCTGAGACTATTTTACCTTTTCTTGAACCATAAATAATTTGTTTTCGTAGTTTGTGCTAATGACTGGTATTCTTGAGAACCATATAATATTCATGATATTAGCAAGCTTTCCAGGCACTGCGCTGTCGCTTTTATGAGCAGGTTGCATTTACTGTCAGATGATTTTTACAGGCTGTGTTGAATCTAAGCAGATTCCCATTTTCTTATATTTGCTTAATACTGTATTTTCAGTGTGTGTGTTTGAAGGAGGCAAAGGGAGCTTCATTTATTGAAAATGTCCAGTTTTATTATATTTTTGATACAACTTAATTATGGAAATCTAGTAACGAGCTTTGTTGCTCAAATGCTCTCAGTACTGGTAAAGGAAAAGCAATGGGTCTCAAGGAGTTTAACGTTTTGTTTCATTTTTCTATGTGTGTCTGAAGATTAAGTGGTGAGTAAAGCTTTCTGCAGCCATATTACAAAATTTAAGCAAGTATTTTGTTTTTAAAGAGGATTTTCCCCACGATTAGAACATTTAAACTCTTAGTTTTCCTTCTTAAAACCTTGCCTATATAAGTCTCTGTGGAGACTTATTTTTACATCCTTCTATTTTCAGAGTAATACAATAGAAAGTTACATACTAAACGTTGAAACAAACATTCAGTACTATTTACAAATAGCCTGTAGTCTCTCTGCCTTTTTTCCAGTGAAGCCAGAGAAAGATCTAGAATGATCTGAGAATTGAGGTGACACAGGAACCCTGTGGAAAATAGTCAAGCACATGAAGGCTGCTGTCTGGTAACTCCTGGAAGAGGAGGATCACACTGAAGGTGTACCCTGTCACTTCTCCCTCTCTCCCTTCCTTCAGCAGTGCTGAATCGACTGTCCTATTGCCTTTTTAGAGACAAGAAAGGGGAAGGTCCCTTAGGAAGGGTAAGGGTCCTGGCTCTCCTAAAACCTTTGTTGGGTGCAGGTTCTCTCTATAGCCAGTGTCTCTACTTGTACAGAGGCATCAAAGCCCAAGCTTGGTGCCTTGAGAGGCAAAGCCTCTTATGTTGAGAGACCTTTAAAGAACTTCAGAGTGTAAATTAGGGGTTCGTTGTCCTACATACATTCTGTTCCCTATAGAGCTAGATCCAAACAAAAGGGAATTTATTTTTAACAATTGTTAGAAATCATTTGAAATGACCTTGAGCTTTGTTATAAAGAACCTCCTAATTTTTGGAAGCACTAGAAGTTAAAGCCTTATGGTTATTCTGTTCCATTGGTCCATGTGTCTGTTTTTATGCCAGTATCCTACTGTTTTGATTGCTATAGCTTTATAATATAGTTTGAAATCAGGAAGTGTTAGGATGGCTATTGTCAAAAAGACAAGAAATAACAAGTGTTGGTGAGGATGTGGATAAAAGGGAACCCTGGTACCCTGTTGGTGGGAATGTAAATTGATATAGTCATAATGGAAAACAGTATGGAGGTTCCTCAAGAAATTAAAAGTAGAACTACCACGTGATCCAATAATTCCACTTTTGAGTATATATCCAAAGGAAATGAAATCATTATCTCAAAGAGATATCTGCACTCCCGTGTTTATTACAGCATTATTCACATTAGTGAAGATATGGAAACAACCCAAATGCCTCTCAGCAGAGGAATGGATAAAGAAAATATGGTGTATATGTATACAATGGAATATTATTCATCATTAAAAGAAGTAAATCCTGCCATTTGCAACAAAATGGATGAACCTGAAGGACAATATGCTAAACGAAATAAGCCAAACAGAGAAAGACAACTACTGTATGATCTCACTTATATGTGAAATCTAAAAAAGTTGAACTCATGAAACCAGAGTGTAGAACAGTCGTTGCCAGGGACTGGGAGAGAGGGAAATGGGAAGGTGTTGGTCAAAGGGTACAAACTTCCAGTTATAAGATGAATAAGTTCTGGGGATCTAATCTACAGCATTGTGACTATAGTTAATAATACTGTATTGTATACTTGAAATTTACTGAGAGAGTAGATCTTGAGTTCTTACACACACACAAAAATGGTAACTATGTGAGGTGATGGATGTGTTAATAAACTTGATTGTGGTAATCATTTCATAATGTATATGTATATTAAACCATCACATTGTATATGTTTTAAAAAATTACATTGTACAATCTAAGTATATACAATTTTTATTTGTCAGTCATACCTCAATAAAGCTGGGTAGGGAGACGCCTTATGGCTGTAATTAAAATGTTTGTTTCCTTCATATTTAGGCATTTTTTCCTCCAATATTGGTTACCCAGAACAGCGATACTACTTCAATAATTCAGGTAAGCACTTTATTTCATTTAATAAATTTTAACTTATTTTTAACAATTTTGTTGGAGCCGGCCCCGTGTCTGAGTGGTTAAAATTCCACATGTTCCGCTTTTGCGGACCAGGTTCACGGGTTGGGATCCCGGGCGCAGACCTACTCAACTCATCAGCCATGCCATGGAGGCATCCCACGTAGTAAATAGAGGAAGATTGACATGGATGTTAGCTCAGGGCAAATCTTCCTCACCAAAAATAAATAAATAAATAAATATAGTGTTTGCTGCTGTAAGCCACTTTAAGGTAATACTAGTTTATGCTGTTGTAGAGTAGTTCACATGTTATGTAATTGTTATGTAATTGTGCTTCTAACATGCCTGAAACCAAATGGAGGGGTAGCCCAGGGAGCATGTTTGGGTGGGTTGGTAGGGAAGGCCAGAGAAGGAGGTAACTCTGGCATGATATTATTGTGTGATTGGTGGGAGGTCTCTCAGACATGATAGATTCCTACTAGACCAGGGCCCTTTATTCTCTTGTCAGCCTAAGAGACTGTACTCCTGGCTAAGTGTTAGAAGTTAGTTTCAGATAAACAATTCTCCCTAGTCCACCCTGTCTACGTATTCAGGAAGAATCATGCTTACCCTAAGAAGCTAAGATCGGCATTCCTCTAATAGTTGATACCATGTGACTTTCTAGATGTCTGTGTAAATAGGTAGAAAGGACTTCCTGTTAAAGCGTATGACCTGTTTTAGGCTAAGGCCCTTACATTCCAGCCTAGGGAGCCTGCACTGTAGTATCCCAGACCAGGACCAGCAGACAGGTGTTAAAGAAGCCATCGGCTGTGGAGGCACTGGGTGTCTTTTATAGTCATGCCAGTTGAGAACCGCTGTAGCTTAAATCTGGGGTCAGCGACCTTTTCTGTAAAGGGCCAGATAGCTAATGTTTTAGACTCTAAGGGCTTTGTTGGCCATATGGTCTGTGTCCCAACTAGTCAACCTGTCGTCTAGCATGAAAGCAGCCATAGACAATTCATGACCAAACGGGTGTAGCTGTTTTCCAATAAAACCTTATTGACAGAAGTAGGCAGCGCGTTGGATTTGGACGGCAAGTTGTAGCTTTTTGACTTCTGCTTTAAATAATATAGCTACAAAGAATTATTGATCGGTATCTATATCTATATAGTGCTTTTGCTTTCTTTTCCCATAGAATGTTCTTAGCCTCAGTCTGGTTTACCCAGTAGCACTTCCTGAGTAGCCATGTTGTGCAGAGTGCCAGACCAACCGGTGTGGGAGAGAAGAAAAGAGCTATAGTCGCTATCTCAGAGAGTTTATAACCAGGAGTTATATGTATAGTTTGTTATACTATTTATACTAAAATGTCTCCTAGTCAATCTCCCTCCCTCCTCATGGGCAACCACTGTTCTGGTTTCATTTCCATCACTGTAAGTTAATTTGCCTGCGCCTGAACTTCATATAAATGTAATCATTTATTGGGCTGGCCCTGTGGCTTAGCGGTTAAGTGCGCACGCTCCGCTACTGGTGGCCCGGGTTCAGATCCCGGGCACACACCGACACACCGCTTCTCCGGCCATGCTGAGTCCGAGTCCCACATACAGCAACTAGAAGGATGTGCAACTACGACATACAACTATCTGCTGGGGCTTTGGGGGAAAAAAAAGGAGGAGGATTGGCAATAGATGTTAGCTCAGAGCCGGTCTT